TGCTTCAGCCACCTGATGAAAAGGATGAGCCAGAACTTCCCCAACGGAGGTGCTATGGACACACACTTTGCCAACATGCGGTCTCTAATCCAAGTGAGTCTTTCTGAATTCTGTTTAAATGAAGTTGAGGTTGTTTCAGAGGCTGAGGGCTGCCATGATGCCATAGCGAAAGACAGGACCTCCGCTGATGGGTTCCTGGCCACCTGGTACTTCGGAGCTGGGGAAGATACTTATGCACCCCAAGCTGATTTCCTGCTTCTCAGGGGGCAGCAGTTGCTGTCACAATAAAGAGTATGTATTACAGCAGGTCAGTTCAGGTTAACCTGACTGAGCTCTTCAGACTTCTGCCTCCATTACAGCAGCTGCACCATGGAAGGACTCACATTTGTGGCTCAGTCCAGCTGTAACTGAAGTCAAGGAGTCGCATTAATATCCATTCCTACATTGCTTTTGGAAGAGAAAACACTGATATTTGTGGGAAAAAAAGAAATTACAGATTTATAGACTATAGCTTTATTTGTGCTTACACAGTATGCTTACTGAATGGTTTTTGGTTGCGAGAATTATCTGGATAAGCCATTATTTGGTTTCATAGGTGGTAAATTAAAAAAAAAATGAACATTTATAATGAAAGCAGAGATTTGTTTAACGAAGAAGAGAGTCAGGGTGGAAAACACAAGCAGCAAACGCAGCTGCAGCATTTCTGTTGAGAAGCAAAAGCAAGACAAGAGGATGGCACCCTCATTATCTGGCTGTACTACACATTTCAGACATCTATCAGACATCTGGCAAGTTTGGGGCAGCTACACCACTGGCATTTTACAAATGCATAATAAAGGCAGCTGCTCAGAATAACTATAGGATCAGCTGATAAAGAGCAGCACAAGACTTCAGCCTCTAACACCTCTGATCCTGGCTACTTTCAGACAAGATACCGACATCTGATGTTTTGCATTTTAGATTCTGGACTCGGAGCTTTTTGAACTGATGCATCAGAATGGGGATTACACTCACTTTTACTTCTGCTATCGCTGGTTCCTGCTGGACTTTAAAAGAGGTAATAATGTTTTATGCCTGTGGAGTTATGCAAAACTGAGTGTACCTATGTCTGGCTGTAGCAAAATGTTTTTATGAGGGACAGCTCAGTAGCTGTTGGACTCTGCTGAGCGATGTACTTTCTATACTAGGAGGACCTCTGCTATGCACTCAGACTCAGAGTCTGCCATGTAGCCCTAACTGCAGCACGCGGGCCCACCTGGGCATCTTTTGGGGTTAAGTCACACCACTACACCTACACTCTTTCTTAATTTTCAGTTGCCATACCTGCACTGATAAATGACAGAAGTTGGCTGGAGGAGAAAGGGAGAGGGAAAAGGAGGTGTTATCACATGCAATTGTTTTCTGCATAAGGCCTGAAAGACATCATAGAGAGGGGTGGGGAGAAATGGTCAATTTGAATAATCAGATGCTCTTGTAATGTTTATTCCCATTCAGAATTGTTGTACGAGGATGTATTTACAGTGTGGGAAGTAATTTGGGCTGCAAAGCACATCTCTTCAGAACATTTTGTCCTTTTCATTGCCTTAGCACTTGTGGAAGTTTACCGAGAGATTATCCGTGATAACAACATGGACTTCACTGATATCATCAAGTTTTTTAATGGTAAGAGACATATTTTAGGAAAGACGTTGCGATAAACAGCAAGTGGCCGCAGTCTGCTGCTCTCCCTTACTCTGACAAACCATCTGCAGTTGTTCAGTGTCCCTGCTGTTGTGAAAGCCCCTGTTCATTTTAAGTTGAGAATCTCTTACTGCTTCAGTCACGTTGCTTTCCATGTGCATGAAGAGCTCAGGTTTTCATGTACTTGCTGAAGATCCAACCTGCCCCACAAACAGCAGTGCCTGTTTTCCTAAAAGGTTCTGCACCTTTATGTTTTTAGAGCCCAAGAGGGCTGTTCCCAGGCACGGGTGGGTACCAACCTCCCATTCCTGTTCTGTGGTCATAAGGGACTGTGATTTTTTGCAGCAAGAGAACTGACACCTGAAGGATTAGCTTTTGGTGCCAGGACCTGTGGCTCTAAGGGATTCATTTACTTATTCCTCTTTAATTCTAAAAACCTAAATCACTGCCAATACTTCTGTTCTGGTGCTCATGTAACATTAATTAATCAATGCTAACATGACAGCAATATCAATACTAGAGAAATGTTCCTGCCATGGACAGTTAAAAATGGTTGTCTGTGTCTTTTAGAAATGGCAGAACATCACAATGCCCAGGAAATACTGAGGATAGCAAGAGACCTTGTCTACAAAGTGCAGACATTGATTGAAAATAAGTGATCATTGTGGGCCTTGCTGTGAGCTACTGGATGGAGCATTTCTTGCACTGTAACTTCAAAATGGTGTTTTAATTGCATCTTCCATGTAATGTAATAAATAACCAGATTTGTAATACTTTTAAAAATGAACTTTTCCTTCACCAGAGGGAGTTTGTGTTTAATAGTCCTTGTTACACTCAACTTTGTATTTCAGAACAGAATCTTTTTGCATTCTCTTATTTCTCTCTCTCTAGAAGACTGTCTCCTTACATAACTGAGATACTAAAAAGGGGGTATTTGACATATTAGAACATTTATATTTTGACTTACTGCACCTTTTGTGCTCTGCCAGAATTTTTTGAAGAGGTAAGGCCTGATCTGCTAGAAGTGGGGCAAGCACTGATCTGGGTCCATGGAAGAGCACATCTGTGGGCTCAGTTCACAGACTCTCTCTTGAACATGGAAGAGAAATGCATACGTAGATCCTGTTGCTAAAAAATTCATACTTACATTCAGAATATTTAGCAAGTAAAATAAGATTAACAACTGGGAGAATAGCCTTACAGTAAGTAACAGGGTTAAAGATGAGCAGTGAAGACCTGGCAGTGCTGGCTAAAACATTGGTTAGCCTTTGCTGCCTCGCTCATGCTGGTGAGTGTTCATGGCCTACATATGCCACAAACTTGCCCTTATTTTACTTTGCAAACTTACTTGGCAAGTACTCCCAGATGACAAATCTGCCTAATATAGCTCAGGTTAACACAGCTTAAGCACATAGAAACAGTTTCCTTGCTCATGTTAGCAAATCCCACGCTCTTTGCATCTGTGCAGAGTCCCATAAAGTTCAGGTCCTACTTACAGAGCAGACACTGCACAGCCTCGCCTCCTCCTGTTCATTTACTGCAGACTACTGACCTCCTCCTCCCCCCTGCTCTGGGAGGACTTCCCTTGGGATCCTGCAAACACAAACCAGGCATTTGTTAACTCATGCAAGTCTTGGTACTTGCCAGATTAAGCAGTAGAAATTGTTGCACAGGATCCATTTTACTGTCATGCTGTGCTGGTTTGTAGAGCTGCCCCTGCACACGCTGTGGCAGTTCTGTGCCTTTTCTGTTAGTGCTTGGCTGCATGCTTCCAGTAGCAGTGTGTATTTTAACCCATCTTCTATAGAGAGCAAAAGTGACTTGGCTGGGGCTCAGCCGTGGAGCTGTCTGTTGTTATCCTAGCACTTCATCACACTATATAAAATTTATCACCTGTACTCTTACTGCTTTCCCAGCACGTGTTGTATTTAGGTGTATCTCTGTGTCAGCCAGAGAGAGGAAGGGAGCAGCTTTTTACTAATGGGATTAGCTGTAGATTTCATGGATTGGTGTGACCTGTGCTCCCAGAAAACTCAGTGTCTCCATTTTAAGTATTCCTGCCTTTGCTACTGAATCTCAGTGATAAAGTTTGAATTTTTTCCCTTTTTAAAACATCATTCAGAGCAGGCTGGGTTACACAGCTTTGTTTCCATTGAGCCTCTCAGGCTGTCATCAAAAGCAGCTGTCAACTCAGATGAGCTTCTAAAATCAGATTTGAGTAAAACAGGCGTAGGGAATCAAATTACTCTGTCCAAAGACTTCAGCCCTGGCTGGTGACTCCCCTCCTATTACCATACAAGTAGTGAGCAGTTCCTCCTGCTTGTGCAATAGATGTGTAATGCCTTTAGGTCCTACTGAGCTGAACGTTGCTCGCACAAGCAAGAGGAAGATTTGATTCTACAAGTGTCATCTGTGCTTAGTTCTCTTTTTATAACTGAAGTAAAATAAAAACAATAAATACTATTCCAAAAGGGGGCATTAAAAAAAAACAGGCAGCATGCTTTTTAACTAATAATCGAGCGCTTAAAGTGGTCTCTGAACATTCGATGGGAGGGTAAAGTAAAACACCAGTTTGTCTCTGCCCTCATTTCCACACTGCCAGGTGTCACTCAGGTGCTGCCCCAAAGCCAGACTGTGACACCAGCAGTGCAGGCAGCACCATGTGGGTCCCCCCTCACTGCAGCAGAACCAACCTGCAGCTCTGCACTCAGTCACAGCGCAGAAGTGAGAACAGATGAGCCTACAGAACTCTGAAAAAAGGTGCAGAGGAGGAGGGTTAGAAGGAAACCCCCTCCCTGTGCATAATGTGCTAAAGTAATTAGTGGGAATGGGAGGAGGAGGAAAGCTGTGATTGATAAGCTGTACTCCTCACCCACCACACGTCCAGCAGTTAGAGTGCACTCAGGATGAGAAGCCAAGAAGTTGTACTGCAGGCATGCTCACAGTCTGACCTCACCATTACAGCTGCACGTCATGCTTCTCACAGGGCAGAGCATGGCTGCTGAAAGGTCTGAAAACGCTTCAGTTTGTGCCTGCCTGTTGTCTGAAGAGTGAAGTACTAAAAAAAATGAGCAAAAAAGCCCTCCAATATACAGAGCCTGAGGAAATGATGTAAGAAATAAAACTGCACTATTTTTCTTTGTTGGGAATGTACTATACAAATCTATTTAAAAAATATCTGCAAAGTTTGTTGTATTTGTTACAATGTTCTGTCTAGTTGTATTTTATGAATATTGTGTATTAACTTATTTTTGTCAAGAGCAGACTATTCTCTTTATTGCTCAATTATATTTAAATGTAACATATAAATAAATACTTACTGTCGAGGCATTCTGTGGAGATCTTTGGAAACAATTTCTCAGCCCAAAGGGACCTTCAGAGACAGAACAGGGAGCCGTGGGGACAGGCTGTCTGTAAGGAGCGGGATGCACAATTAACATCTCTGTGATGAGCTCACAAAGGCGTTGCACTAAGCAGCATTTCTGAAGGTCGCTGCCGAGCAGCTGCTCACGGCCCTTACGTGACTTCCAGCACAGATGTAAGTCACACACAGAGCCCAGCAGGCGCTGAGCTGCAGCCAGCACAGCCTTGGAGGAGTGTGAACAGAGTAGGCCTGCGACAAGTGCTAAGAAATAACAGTCTCAGGCCTGATCGTGCTGCAGCTAACGTTAAAAAAATCTATCCTGGAAGCCAGCAGTGCTGTTAGATCCTCCTCCATCACTCCCTGTTTGTCCTCCAAAGCCCCCGCAAGACTCCTCCTGCAGTTCCTGTCCCTCTCCCCAAGCTCGTTGCCTTGCTGCTCATCTGCTGCCATCAGGTTTGGCAGAGATCGTTCTTCCACATTTTCAGGCCACCTTTGTTTGTGTTTCTGCTGGGAGCTCTGCCCAGAGGTGGCTCCCACAGAGCAAAGGAGAGCTTTCCCAACCCATCGCCTGGGAAGCCAGAAGCACCAACAGCCTCTGGCTGCAGCGCATGCAGTCCCTCAGCCATCACTGCTGGCTGTTAGAGCTGTTAACCACGTATTCACCCTCACACAAGAACATAAGCCCTCTGAAATGGATCTGGGGACACGTTGGCTTAAATGATCTTCCAGTGCTTGTGTCCTTCCCCTTCAACTTGTCACTTTGCTTTCTTTTCTACAGGGCCTTCTTAGTACCAGCGTCCCCCTCACGCACCCCAACCACTCTTCTGCAAGCTCTCAGAAGCTTTTGAGCTAGATATTACAACTTAGAAAGCTGTCCCCCAAAGCTGCAGAGTCCCTGCAGCAACCGGAATTCATTTCAGCAAAACGCAGCATCCCAGACAAGTTTCATCACACTGAAACTCTCACTGCTACCCACTGCTAGCAGAAATTAAAAAAAAAAAAAAAAAAAAACACAACAAAAAAAGCCCACAGATCTCCCCTGCTTCCTGCTCTCTTTTCTGTAACCCAGACTCAGCCTGAGCAGCCTGCTTGGTTAAGTTTCAGTATCTCATTTTGCCAAACACAGCAACCTGGGCCCTTACAGTTCACTGCCACATGTCACTGCAGCCTGTTAAGTCAGTCCCAGGTCTGCCTTCCACCTTCAGAAGCTGTACCCATCTAGAAATGCTGTACAGTTTCACAAGCAAAATTTTAAAAAGTAGCAAAAAACCCAAAAGCAATAAAACAGCAAAACTTCCTCCAGATCCCAAAGGCCCTCTGACATCACTGCCTTCAGCAGGAACACCTCCCCAGCACCAGCCCTCAGCACCACAGCCACCTTTGGATGAGCTGCCTGCCACAGCTGGGCCCACACATCCATTTCCTTCCGATGGTCTCCCAGAGGATCTCCCTGCCCCTCCTGAACAGCTCCAAAGATGACTCTGAGGAGGCTGAGACTGGGGGTGTTCAGAGGCTTTGTGACTATTTCTGCTCCACAAACCCAGCGCCCAGGCACAGTCCTGACACCACTCGGAGCAGCAGCCCAGCACGTACCCATGCAATGCAGAGGAAACAAGCAAGCAAGAGATAATGCTCTGTGCCTCAGGCCTCAGCCAAGCACTGCTACCATTAACAGCTCCCCTCCACAGCTTTTAAAAATTCCTAGGAGGGAGAGAACAAGCAATGAAATGAACAGTGATGGAAGAGCTCTGCCTCACCTGGCACACCAGGTATGCATCACAGCAGTGCAACCGTGGCACTGTGAGATGGAAGAAAGCAAGCCCAGGCAGTTCCCAGCACGCCTCAGCAATGACACTTTTGATTATTTGCATTATTTTTAAGCCTTCAGTTTTTCATTTGATTCTGATGTATGCTTGGACATAACAGTTGCTACCCCTCTGTGAGGTTTTATGAACTTACAAGCCCTGCACTGTGCTTTTTTTTTTTTTTCCCCCCCCTCCACCAAGTCCCACCTCCCTGCAACCCCAGAACAGCATGACGTGATGGAAAGTACAGCAAAAACAGCATGGTTGCAAAGCCCTTGGCTGCAGCAAATGAGAATAAGTCCAAATGCAGCAGCTATGGACACAGAAACAAAGGAAAAGAGCTGCTTACCTTTGGAAGGTCTCAGGTAGGCAAGGATCTCTAGCGAGATATCCTCACCTCCACTGCCAACCTCTAAATGAAGTCTGAGAAGGGGTGGATGCTGGCTCCAGCCCTCCTGGTCATTCAGTACATTGCACACAGCTGAGATCCCCTGGTCTGGCCTTGCCTTCCTACCAGGTGCTCCATCACTGCTTCAAGCTGTGACTTAGCATTTTCACTATGCCCCCACACAACAGCCACACTAAAACATTCTTACTCCACCTTACCCTGAACCCCCCTCCCTCCTGTCATTCATTGACCCAAGCTCATTAGACATCAGGTGGTTCCCTCTGAAGGTGGGGAGGGGGGTGGACGTGAAGAAGCCAAAATAGTTTTTGAGGAATGCAGGTAGAATAAGATCTCCTTATAAAGAGCTGCTAATCAAGTGTCATAGCAATTGCAGCTGCTGGCTTCTGCGAGCCCAGCCAAGCCTCCTGTCCACACAGGTGTAGTTGAGGCAGCATCAGGTGGCACAGCTGAACAATCACCAGCACAACTTTGAATCCTGCTGCATTTGGTTTTTCATCCCAAAAAGCCACTGTTTCCCTTTTCAGAATGTTTTAGTTGGATCTACTGTAAGATCTGACCAGAGAACCAATTCTAAGCACTGAGATGAAAAGTATTCTGCACATAAAGCATGTAGACAAGAGAGGGGATAGGTCATTTCATACCCATAGGAGCAAATTACTGGGATACCCTGACTATCTAATAGCACCTAATTAACCAAACTCAGTGTTGGCACCTCCTGAAGGAGGCTAAAAAACAGCACAGTGATGTCTGAGCAAAAGGCCCTTATGAGCAGTTCAGAAATCAACTTGGGTGTAATTAAGAGCATTTGAGAGAACGGTACCCCACGTGCACACAGCTGGAGCAGCGTGGTGTGACCTGGCTTACCTGGCTCTCAGTCTGCGCTCAAAGGACCCAGGAGGCTTTTCTCAAAACCTGAGACATCCAACTTGCTGATCTGCAGGAGAGAGCATTCATATCTCAGCTAGGTGAAGCAGGTTTAGCCAAGCTGCATTTCCAGTTCCTCATCTCACAGGCATGGATGCTGCAGAGCCCCTCTCCCAGAGCACCCGCAGGAGCGCCCCCAGCCCAGCGCTGGATGGCGCCGTCCCCAGGAGCCAAAGCCTCACCTGGCACACGTGGTCACAGCGCCGATGGCATCATCGGCCAGCCTTCCCCCTTCGACAGGCATTACATTTCTTCTTCCACATTTCTACATCTTCTTTAAAGGATGCCAGTAAATTAATGCTGCTTTGCTGATCAGTGTTCGAGTAATATCGATTTTCCAAGTTTTGATACACTCTGGGGCCGGAAAGGAGCGGTCGCTCCCAGCCGAGAGCAGCACAGCACGGCCGGCCCGGAGCAGCAGGAGCAGCGCTGGGCTCAGCCTGGCGGCGGCTCTGCAGCTGATGAGCAACGGCACAACGTTTAGGAGAAGACTGAGAGAAAAGTCTGCGTAATTAGAAAGTGACAAAGGAAGCGAAATATTTGCATGCAAAGCGCGAGGATGGAAGGCAGAATCCCGCATTTCGTTTCTCCCCGCGGCCGCCGTTACGGGAGCGGCCGCCTTTTGCAAGCGGCCCCGCCTGCTCGGATCCCGGCGGCAGCGCTCCGCCGCAGCCGCGCACGGAACGATCCGTGTTTGCTTTGCAGCTCGCATGGCACGCGCGGCTCCCGCAGCGCGGCTCTGTCGGAACGGCGCGATGCTCCCCGCACGGCTCGCGGTGCCGCTCCGCTGCGCTGCCCTTCACCTCGCGGCACCGCCGGCTGCTCCCCGCCCGGGGCTCCGCGGGAGCTCCCACCGCAGGGCAGCTCGGCCCGCAGCGCCGAACGCAGACGCGAAAACACCTGCGGCTGCCCGGGCCTTCTGCTGGCACGGCCGCGCTGAGCGCAGCTGCACGCACGGGGCGGGCCGGGCGCCCGGTGCTCTGAGCTCCGTGCCCGGTGCCGCCCGGGAGCACAACGCGGCCATCCGGGGAGGGCCGGAGCCTCAGAGCTGCTCGGGAGAAGCCCCGTTCTCTTTTTTAATGCGGCACGGTTACCAGTAACTAAGATTATTCAACAACAGAAGAGATTTCTTGTAAACTTTGTATTTATTATTTTTTTTTGGGACAAATTAGATCTTCTGAATCCCCAAGTGTACACATATATTTATTTATATATAGCTTTCTCCATAGGGAAAACACATATATCAAAGGAGGAGAGACATTTCTAAAGTGCCCCTTGTTATACAGTACTGAACATTTCTAAGAGCATGAGCACAAATCTGCGGTTTCTGGGCAGGAATGACAGCCGTGGGGAAAGGGCTGCACCTCGCCGTGTCCCACAGAACAGAAGTTGGCCAGCTTTAAAACACAACAGAAACGAAGAAATGCTTCTCGCAGCCACAGAGAAGGCAAAGAATTTCAGTGCTGACGGCCAAAAGATGGGTCGGCTGCTGGCAGGACGAGCCTTGGAGGGTGAAGGTTTGCATCGAGGGTGGGAGACAGTGCTGAGGGGGAGAAGCTGACAGCAGAGCAGGGCAAAGTGACACCGCCACAGCGGGAGGAGGGAGGGAGGCAGGGGGAGCACGACCACGGGGAAAAGGCCATTAATAATCCACCGGGAAGTCACTGCCCGCATCAAAGAGAACAGGAACCCTTCTCTCACTCTACACTCTGTGCAGCTCAGTATGGCTGTGCTGCCGCCAGTGAGCCAGCATCAGCTCTCATGGGATAAGAAGCCAATGGAATTAAGGTGGGAGTCAAGTTTTTCAATACAAGAAGCCGTCATGCAGAACTGCACATAACAAGAGCAGAATGGTGCGTGCTGCCCCTGTGCCTCCCTGCCAGCGCCTGCAGAACAGGATCCACATCCAGGTGCTGAAGGGGCTTCTGGTGCTCCTTTGCTGTTGTGCTCACAGCAGCCACACGCTGCTGAGTTCCCAATCTGGGCTTTTTCTCCTTCAAAAGCTCAGCCATCGCTGGCCAGAAATGAGGCTTCCTGCCCCCATTCTGTAATTTCACATGGCTCTGCGAGGTGGAACAGCAAAGAACGGCAGAGGCCACTTCCTCCTCCTCCAAACAGCTGCAGAAGACAAAGCCATGCCTAAGGAGATGACCCTGTTGTGTTCATTTCTCAGTGTTCTCTGATGAAGAGCGACTGTCCCAGTATTAATGACCATCTCTAGAAACACCAGCTGAAGGTCCCATGGGCACACAGAACACGGCTCTCGTGGCCAAGCACCTGAACATACAACAGAGACAGTAAAGACCTGGCAACTCTCATCCTACTGAAACGTGATTGAGATAAAGGAAACCGTACAGATTCTGCTGTAGGAACTGTGCTAACAGCAGAGGCGAGAGCTTCCTCAACTTGAGGGTGAAAGAAAACAATAGAGCATTAACTACTGAGCAACTCAGGGCTTAATAAATACAGATTTGATGCAACTCTCAGCCATGTCTACTCAGAAGGCACAATCACACTTTCCGTATGCAGTAATCACTGCTGCCTCCAGCACAGTTTCAGTGATAGCAGGGACAGTACAGAACCGGCAAGCTTTTTTCATTGTACCCCTGGCACAGCTATCCACAGCCAGGCAAAAGTCCTGCTGGAGCCTACGGGCGTTCTGGGCACACTACAGACCAAGCTTTCCAAGATCTGTGGAAGATCTCGACGCAGAACCAGTTAGCTGGCGAGCAATGAAGTGGCCTCATGGCTGCTGAAGCCTGTCTTACCTCCTCCTGTGAATGGGTGTCGTTTCCAACACGGGTTGGATGCTAGCAGGGAGCGTCCTCTCATCCTGCCTGAAGGAGAACGTCCACTGGCTACAACAGGGATTTTGCCTGCATCGAGGACTGCAGGGCTTTTGTTTTTAGAAAGGAAGATGGAAAAGAGATCATTAAGAGTAGTACTACATGCAAAATGGTGCAAGGAACAGACAGACCATTAACAGTAGTGCTATAGACAAAACGGTGCTCGGAGCAGAATAAGTCAGCAATAAAACACACCCAAAGCAAACTCCCCAGCAGGGACCAGCACACAGTCAGTATTCCTCACCTCGTGACTCAGTGGGAGTTTGCCATTAACTGCAACGAGACCTCACTACCATTAGAGATGGAACAAGAGTTACTTAGGATGCCGAGTTTCTTTGGTGCGCGTCCCACTGCAGTCTGTAAGACACACTGTCAGGTTATGCATACTGAGCTCATACTGTTCTCCTACAATAGACTAGATTTTTTTTTCCCCAAAAAGAAAAAAAAAAAAGGTACCGAAATTGCTTGCACTTTGGAAGATACCACATGCACGTTTATCACTTCTCTAATCCTTTCACTTCCACACTAAAACGTGGTCTGTTCAGGAACAAACTAACAAAGAAAAGTAAACCATGCAGCAAAGCAACTTAATTTCCGTTTGTCTTCTTGCCCCACGTTCCACTGTTATCAGGCCAGATAAACACACTGTAAGTCACCAGCACAAAGAGTCTGCCTCTGCAAAAACAAAAACCAACCCAGAAAATCTAAGGCTAGGGACTGGCACGAGGAATCCTGAAACAGTCCTGTAATTCAATTATCAAAATTATCAAAAATCAATTATTGCATTAACAAAACCAAACCAAACAATAAACCCCCCAAAAGCATCCAAACAGAACACTGTCATCAATTAAAATAATAAAGAACAATACTTTTTTTCCTTTTTGACATAGCTATAAAAATCAAGTCATTTATAAAACTGCAACAAATGAAGTCCGGTTGTGTATTCTTTTTCCTTTTATTAAACAGGACAGAGAACTTCCTTAAAATGCCATAACAAGTCACAGTGATTTTAGATGGTTTTTTGAAATGTAATATACTGATGGGAAGTATCTCGAACGTTCAATTTGCTTTGTTTTTGTCACTGTCTGTGTACCCTGGTCCACCAAACCATCTACGTAAAGTTTCTTGTTTAGAGAGGACACTGTGTCTTCTTCCTCCAAAACTGAATTTTGACTAATAATCCTGCAAAATAATCAACCTTACAAAAGGCCTTCTTCAAATGTTATATTTATATATATATGTATATACATATATATACACACACATACACACATATATATAAATATAGACTTTTATGATTTTTTCCCATTCTACGCAACGTCTCAATAAAGAGATCAGCAGATTTATTCTACAAAGAAGCAACACATAAAAGGGGAAAATTAAAGTCTTAAGAACATCATAACCA